GCTACAGCCACCCATTTCTAGGCTTTCTAGAAGAGCAGGAGTTGCAGGCCCTCTCTAGCATCCATGAGCTCCTCAGTTTCTCTCTGAGCATCACTTTTTTGCCAAAAAACATGAGTTATGCTGTGGATCCTTGACACGAGGCATTTGGGACCTTTGGAAAGAAAGCTCACATATTGATTATCATTGACAATACCCTTTCTGGTGATCTAAACCTGAGGGACTTAGAGATTGAGAACCGATCTTTAAGCTCTTTCTTACTGCCTTGCTACCTGGATTTTATTTGGTACCTTCCCAGACTTATTGTATCACTTGTTACTGTATATCTGTCAATAAAGCTTTATGCTATTCCACATCCACTTTTTTTGTCTGCATTTATATTTCACATGGTTAAAATATATTTTTAAAATACAACACAGCTTCTCTAAGAGAGCATAGTACCCTATATTTGGTAGACCTCAGATATACTGTATTTTAGAAATTACTTCTTTATGATGAAAATAAAGATTGCCACCGGGTATATTAACTTTTGCTATGTTTCATCCAACATCATTCACACAGGACAGCTTAATCACAATTTAAATTCATCCTTTAATTATGTATCAGCATAATAAAATTTTCCCAACAATTAACATTCTTGTATGCTGAGTTTGCAAGTTTCAGCAATTGTAGTCATCCTCAGGAGAAAAAGTAAAGGTAATTGGTAGCACATTAAATGCCTGGACTAATTCTTTCTTGAGTGTAAGGAGTGAGATCTACTAATCACTACTTTTTTAAAAATTTTTTTCCCGTTTTTCTTGATAATGCCAGAAGCTTCCATTACAGGATGCTTCAGGGTAAAACTGGGTTCAGCTGTTACTGGAAGAAAGCATCAACCTCTGCCTGAGCCTTCTATTCAGCTTATCCAACCAGCAGAGAAGAATTTTTCTGTACTTTGTTTCCATTGTTATGTTATTACTGTAGATTAATCCAACTGTCATATATATTTAGAGTCACTTAATGTTTTTAAGTATAAACCCCTCTTATTCTACATCTTAAAAATTATCACTCTACAGAATGCAATCATTTAAGTTAAAATTTTTTATATTAGTGCTTTGCCTTAGGCTAACTTTTTTTAAGCTTTAGCTAAAATAGCCTTTTTAGAGAGGATTAGTGCCAAGTAGATAACTCTATCAATTTTATGACTGTCCTACCAATTTTTTTTTTTTTAAGGAGCCTTGAAGCACTAACAAGTGACTTCTGAAACTTCTGCTTATTTCCTGTCAAAAAAAAAAAAAAAATCCATCTTTTAAAGCAGAATCACAGGATTTTCAGATTCCTAGCAAACATTTCATGTAGGTATTACAAGCTTTCTGATCTGATTATAAGCCTCAATACTCCTTAAGTGCTACCATGCTCCTTGATCTACAAGGAAAGTTTTCTTTAAGATCTGTGGTTCAGTCTACAGTGATGATACCCCAATACCCTCCATCCAAAAGCAGAAGTACTGGGCTGGAGTGTTCTGGCTGCCAGAACAGGCCATAAAATTTTGTCCCAGCTCTTATGGATGTATGTCAATATTTCTTAACAGTTTTTTTTTTTAAAAATAAAGCTTACACAGCAAATAAATAAATAAAGGGAACAAAGCCTCTTCATGTAGCTTAAAAATCACACCAGACTGACTTCTGCAGAGCAACTTCCACTCTGTTGTATGTACGGAGCAAAAAGGAGCTGCAAAGTCAAATTGTAGAACTCACTTCAGAGTGGAAGACAGACCTTTTGCCATGTATACACACTGCTTTTCAAAATACATATGTTGAATCTATTCATTTGGCTAAATATTAAGTTACCTTCTGTCTCCGTTTAAAGGCTCAGGGCAGGACCCCACGGAGCAGAATTTGTGCTCCCCCTCCCTATCCCTCAATTCTCCCCCAGATAGAGAGATAAAAAGGGAAGTCAGGAGTAAGAGAGAATCTGCACCGACTGGAAGTTAATAAAAATAAAGTATATTGTGTATCAGGGAACAGAAAGCAAGAAGGGAGGTAGATATATATACACAAAGATAGGAGGAAAACAAAGAAAACACAAGCTATACAAAACCCAAATCTCAGATAGCACAGGATTGCTCAGAACCACGTGGATGCAGCCCCACTGTGCTCTCCCCAGAGACAAAGAGAGAAAGAACAAGAGAGAGCATCCACCTCCTGCCTCTTTTAAAGAGTGTGGAGGAGGAAGGGGAAGGGAATAAACCGCTTCCCCCGGGACCCTCAGGGTCCTAGAGATCACCTGTCCTGTCCCTCAAGCCTCAAACCACACCACCTTCTTCCATCCAAAGAGAATCTCATCAAGAACAATGATGGTTATCTATGATCCTTTAATCTGAAAATTCGTGTCAATATCTTCTGAGGCATATCAGAGGTGAAAACTAATTATCATGGGAGGGTTTGGGTACAGCTGTGTTTTAATTTGCCTTTTTCAAGGAAGTATCTGCAATAACTTTACTGGTAATCATATGGTCTCCAGTTAATTTCTGCATCCTGTCCCACCATCTTCATTTGCCATACAAAATGTATAGTACTGTAATTAAGGCTTGTTGGTAAATGTAGGGAGCAATGTTTAACAGTGGCATCTCTTACTGGTGTTTTGAATCCTAGCTCAGGTGACTCAATACTCAAATTCCTCTCAGTCAAGTTGATTAGTTGCATTATCCATATTTAAAAGATCTAATTTTGCTTCCATAAACAGTTATCATAATTTCCATCCTGTTGAATTATTAAAGTTTTTGCTGCTCTGAATATTTTTCAATGGTAAGATATGGGATTATTGCATTAAAACTGAATACACCTGGAAAAATAATAGAAGATAAAAAAGGTAAAGCATTGCTACCTTTTAGTCATATCCTACACATATGCATATCACTATTTTGCACAATCCTTGCTGATTAGATATATTTCCGTAAACTGTGAATTACAAACCCCCAAAACGTCTGCAGAAGGAATTTTTCCATCAATCATGCAAAAACTGGCTTCCTTCAGTTCCCTCCTCATGCCCACGTGATCAAGGGTGAACTGCTCACAGCCGTGAATGTGGTGCCAGCTGCATGCCTGCTATTCCTGATCCATCAGTCACAGCCAGTCAAGCAGGCAGCCACTGGGTCTGACTTAGCATGCCCTTTGCATACTTGCTTAAAATTTTAAGCTCCAATTAGCTGGAATTTATGTCCAGTATCACCCTATTAATTCAGACTAATATCTGAGATGACCTTTCTGACCTTTCAAATTAGCAAGCAAGCAAGAAAAGTGCAATGAAGAACAATAAGCAAACACCATTGGCAAGCATCTTAAGTTAGAGCAATTAAATCTGTGTTCCTCAGAAATGTGAAAAAAATCCCATGTTTTCAAAACATACAAGCTTTCTCCATGGTGTGAACATCTGAGTCATTCCCTGCTCTGGAAACCACCTTGAAAACAGCAGAGGCTGTTGGCTTTGCCTTAACAGATTCCTGGGTTAATGAATTTGTATTGTGAAAAGGTCTATTTGCAGCAGCATGACAGTAACACTGTGTGAAGTGTGAGAATAAGTGTCTCATATTTATGTTTAAATTTTCTTACTTATGTTAAAAGCTCACGTTTATGTTTTTCTAAAATGTTTATGTTTAAATTGAAAAAGCTGTTTAAAATTTCAAATAGGTGTTTAAATTTTAATTATATTTAACAACTCCATCCATCTACTCTGCCACAAAGCAAAAACTATCTAGAAATATCTGAATATATCAATTGCAAGTTAATGGCAGGCAATTATAGTGGCATGTCAGTAAATTGTCTTCAGCTGATAAGTAAATTTGAGACAGACATTGAATATATCTTAATGTATTCAAAGAGTAAAATTAGCTTTATTTAACTGCAGATTACTTCTAATGGCCAGTTTTAATGCCTTCCAAGAAAATAAGAGGTGGAAGAAACAGAAGGTTTCCCTGCACCTGTGCAATCTGCCTCTGGTTTTGTTAGGTTTGGGTTTTTTTTCAATTAACATTTGAGTATAAAATTAGCATGAAATCTGATATTTTCAAACTCCTGCAGCAGCACTTGCCTAACTAACTACATGCACAGTTTGATAAATGCTTGATTTCCTAAATCAGGTTTAAGCAAACTCCAGTCTGTGCAGAGTTCAAATTATGAAACTGACAGGTTCTATTATTTTAATGAAAATGTCCCAGATCATTCTATACTGCATTATTTAGATACTACATTTTCAAAGAATAACCAGAGTACAGTTATAAGAAGTTGTGGTGAGGAACAGAAAAGCATATGGAAATTATGCAATTTACGGCTGTAGCATCTTGATCAAATAGTGACAAAAGATAGCAAAGATTAAGGATTAAAAATTGCCTAAGACATATGAATGATGATGTGAAAATAATTGTTGATTATAACAATTGTATGTTTATACAGCAAAAGCTTGATTCTTGTGCACTAGTACAATAAAAGTTTTGCTTCTTTATCTCTGGCTTTGAAGAGATGGGGGAAGATGAGTAAATTGTCACTTTGAATTAACTTGTCATAAATATTTATAGCCCACAGAAAATAATTGTATTACTCTTTAGCACCAAGGTAATTAGTTATAAATCACATTCTTAAAGTATTAACATGATTCTTTTGCAGAAGCTTTGGCTTTCAATAAATTAATATTAAAATTCTTGGGTTATAATAAATGCAACAGAAGAAACATTTCTAAAGCCAGTGAGTGAACATGAAAGATTTCCTTCCACTTGTTCCACTTTCTGGGTTTACCCTCAAGGCTATTGCTTTGTAAGCCTTGATATATGATGCTTCTTTTCTTTCAAGTTTCAAAATTAAAACTATAAATCCTTACTGATAGAAAACCATGACCTAACATGCCTACATCAGTTAGGACATGCATGCAGTGAAGGCATTGATAGGTTTGATGGGAGCTTCCAGATCCTAGGGTGTTTAGTCTCATTTTTTTTGACCAAAGAATACTTATAATAAAATAAAAGACAATAATTTGTAGGTTGCAAGTCCCAGATCTTGTTTATTTATAAAGCAATAAATATTAGAAGCACAAATAAATTGCACGGGTGTGTAAACAAACTGTACAATGACTGAAGAGTTCAGGAAGGGTTGCCAGAAGACTCCAAGAAGCATATTGTCGTCATCCTGAGTGGGAAGTAAATTGAGGGGAAAAGTGCTTAGAAGCACTTGCGGTGGACAATGGATGGACCAGCTTCATCATACTCCTGTTTACTGATCCACATTTGCTGGAAGGTGGACAGAGATGCCAGAATGGAGCCACCAATCCAGACAGAGTACTTTCGCTCAGGTGGGGCAATGATCTAGGACAAAGAAAAGCAAGAAAATCCTCATTTAACAGTTACATTTCTAAAGAAGCAACACACATCACCAATGTAACAAACCACTAAGTATTTCCTTAAGTAAATAAACAACTTTTTCTATAAGAGTCATCTTCAGCAGCTGGTACAATACATGTAATATTCCTTAAGAATGTCTTAACCACATTTTCCTAACACATGCTTCTAACCAGTGTAACTTCTGATTGTTATTTATTTTTATGTTTCAATGATTCGGAAAATGGATTTTCTTCTCATTTGTCCATCAGTTACTGATCTTACTCAAATCCCTTACCTTGATCTTCATAGTGCTAGGAGCAAGTGCAGTTATTTCTTTCTGCATGCGATCAGCAATGCCAGGGTACATCGTCGTACCACCCGAGAGGACGTTGTTAGCATACAGGTCCTTACGAATATCAATATCACATTTCATGATACTGTTGTAAGTAGTTTCATGAATACCAGCAGATTCCATACCTTGAAAAGAAAGAAGACAGTAGGTCAAGTAAATTATATGAGAGGTCTTCATGAAAAGAACACTTGGCATTTCTCCTCATCATTAATATGAACTTCTACGATCTTTTTGTTGAAAATCACTTTACTGATTATTAAATGTTATAGAAAAACATAATAAACAGAATTACAGAACTAGCTTAGAAAATTAAAATTATTTCTTAGAAAAGGTAAGAATCATAATGCATGTGCAAAGGAAAGATAATCAAAATATATAGTAAGAAGCAGACACACAATATAAACTCATTTAGTATATGGCAATGGGAGAAAGTTAGAACAGAAAGCCTGAGTATCACAGTATGTCAGAGTCTCACAAAAAAAACATTAGTTGAATATAGTAAAGGCAGCAATAAAGACAATGAAAACAGTTGAAGTAGAACTAGAGAAGACAATGCTGACTTCATTTCTTTTTCAGTGTAGTGTACTCAAAATACAGTGTATGCTGTTTATAAAAATTAAGGCAAGGCATAACCAAGACATGGACCAAGATACTAGGAAGGAAAAAGAAACAAGAAGCAAGTGTTTGTAGGTTGCATTCCAATTTATTAATTTCAACAGGTGGTTCCTGAAAGGGCTGACACTAGATCCACAGTGAGATGCTGGCTGACAAACAACTGCATTTATTGCTTAGGAGTTAAAGCATAAGCATTTGCTGTATCTGTCAGCTGCACGCACAAACAGCAAAGCTTACCATCTTGACCACGGTCATGCTTAATTACAGTGTATATAAATAACCACATCCCTTAATTCCATTTTTTTTCCCCCTCCAGATACTTTATGTCTTCTTGGAGTCAGATACTGTTTTAAGAGTAAACTATTCTTTCACTGAAAGCTGTTCTTGCCACCAGTGACATAGAATCAATAGAATGTCTCAAGTTGGAAGGTGCCTACGACGATCATTGAGTCCATCTCCCTAATGATGATATTCTAACTGCATATTTTATCACTAAAAAATTGTGATCCCCAAACCTGATTTAAAGCTTGCAACAAGAGCCTGGAGCTCAGCTAATTGCCAGTTGACCTCACATCAAATACAACTTAGAGGGACCAGAGGATCAAACTCATAACTTATTTATGTCTGATTTCATGTTGAATTTACATAAGCTAGAAGAGGAGTGGGACACCTCCTTATTCATTCATAACTCCTACAGAAAAGAGAATTTCCTGGTAATACTTACCAATAAAGGATGGCTGGAATAAGGTTTCCGGGCAGCGGAAACGTTCGTTCCCGATTGTGATTACCTGACCATCAGGCAATTCATAGCTCTTTTCCAGAGAGGAGGAAGAGGCAGCAGTGGCCATTTCATTCTCAAAGTCCAGTGCAACATAGCACAATTTCTCTTTGATATCACGAACAATCTCACGTTCAGCTGCAGGTATATGGGAATCAAATCAAGGTTTGGGTAAGCAAAATACTGGAAGAAGAAGATGAACCAAGAGAAATGTGAGGATATTTAAAGGAGGGCAAAGCTGAAGGACTGACCTGTTGTCACAAAGGAATAACCACGCTCTGTGAGGATCTTCATAAGGTAGTCAGTCAGATCCCTGCCAGCCAGATCCAGACGCATGATAGCATGAGGCAAAGCATAACCTTCATAAATAGGTACATTATGGGTGACGCCATCGCCAGAATCAAGAACAATACCTGGGAAAGAAATGTCAGAGAGCAGTTGGAATCACCTAGCAAATGCTTAGAGTCCTTAGGCACAGTAAGCAGCAACAAAATACAGGATTTTTCAGGCAGTATAAAATAGCATCATTTATTTTAGCCATAAAGATCTTGCCCATTCCTGTTTTTGGTCATTCCTGTTTAGTGTGAACTTTCCCATAAAATAGTTTTTCTGTACATATTTTAAGCTAATCCATATGGGCAGCCTTCTACTGCTACTGCACTAAGCAGTAAGTGTATTTGCAATAGTGATTATCTTGATCCAATAATGGGCATCTTTTAGGCCCAGTTCAAACCCTGAAACTGGTGTAACTGCAGTATTCTCACAGAAATGTCTCTTTGTGTGCATCATGACAAGCAGCAGGAGAGTTGGTTCCACAGTGCCTCTCCCAAAGCAATGTAGACAGGTCCACATGGTTCTTTCCATAGACTATTTTGTACTGGCTTTTCTGTTACTGTTATCATCAGTTGGTACAAGCTAAAAATACCTAATGTTCTGCACATTTGAATGAGTTATGATGGGTTTTCTTCCTGTTTAGACTGGGAAGGAAGAAAAGTTCCTGAAAAGAAATATCTCAATAGTGTCTACTTGTTTATTTTACCTGTTGTACGACCAGAGGCATACAGGGACAGGACAGCCTGGATCGCCACGTACATAGCAGGTACGTTGAAGGTCTCAAACATTATCTGAGTCATCTTTTCACGATTGGCTTTAGGATTCAAGGGTGCTTCTGTTAGCAATGTGGGGTGTTCCTCAGGGGCCACACGGAGTTCATTGTAGAAAGTGTGGTGCCAGATCTTTTCCATATCATCCCAGTTGGTGATGATGCCATGTTCAATGGGATATTTCAAAGTAAGGATACCTCTTTTGCTCTGAGCTTCATCACCCACATAGGAATCTTTTTGACCCATACCAACCATAACACCCTAAGAGAAGAAAATACAGAAAAGTATTATTTGTGGAAGGCAACATCACAGAGCCCAAACAATTACATGGCAGAGAAGTATGCTATTTTCAGGAAAGACACAAGCAGTCACACCACTGAAAGGTTGTTTAGGAAAAGAAATTAGCATTATTAAAATATTATGTTAACAAAATTTGAAGTTTTCTTATAAAATTCTTCTTAATTTTAAACAGATGAAAGGATTCCACTACCCCCCCCCCTTTTTTTTTTTTTAAATGCATCTCTTGTTTCCAATTACTTCTGGTCCAAAATTTTGACTGAAAGTAAACTGCACAATATCACGAGCAGGAAGAGATACACAGAGACATACAAAAAGACTTTATGAAGAAGATACAGAGGGAAATTAGCCTTCTAGTGAAGGAAGATACTGCATATTACTATGGAGCCTCAGCAGTAATTTCTTCATGATAACAAAGTACAAATTGCAAATGTTTTAACTTAAAAAAGAAGCATTGCAAAGTTTTTACCAAGGAAGTTTCAGGAGAAAAAGTAAAGTACCATATTTTCTGTGTACTGATTTAACTGGGAGAAAAAAAGGAGGAGAACAATATGGGAGCAGGAAAAAGGAAGCTGAGAGTAATAACACGGTAAGATCAGAGATGGACAAAAGAAGTAGAGGAAATTGAAAGGTGTTTGGTATGTGAAACATTGGACAGGATGGGTGGGAGGAACCTTATATAAACTCCATTGTGCACAAATTCAGCCAATGAAGATGCCTTTGAACCAGCACCAGTCCCAGGTCTGGCCTAGGGGATGGAGTGGGCAGAAGCTGCGTAGGAAGCTGGGTTTGGGCTCATTAGGAGAGAGAACAGAGAGAAAGCCAAGAGGAAAGTTGGTGACAGAAATAGCTGGGAGAAGGTAGAAAGTGATAGAAAGAAGATAAGGGACAGCCAAAGAGGGCAGTTGAGGGAAGCGCTGGAAAGACTTTGAAGTGTGTGGCTGGTACTACTGCAAGAAGAGAGCAGAGGAAAGAGCAGGGTACTCGAGGCACACCAGAACTGAGAAGGGAAGGAGCGAGCAGGGGCGACTCCTGGAGAGAGGAGGAAGGCTTTGCCCTGCCCCGGTCCTGCCTCCCGATTTACCTGGT